TTAATGTCATTACCAAGAAAATGCCAAATAGATTCCTCAGCGGAAGGCTATGTACATTAATCTAGGCTTGTAGAATGAGAGAAGTGAAACCCTTTCCCTTAAACCTTCTTGAGCAGACTTCATTGTACGAATATGACTGTATCATAGGGCATGCATTTCACCAAACTGAAAGTATTGGAAATATGTGGAGTCATGAAATGGTTTCTAGGAATTTCTACAAATAGCGGAAGTGGCTGCTTCTGAGTTTGCATGTGTTTGCATTCACGTTTGTAGTTTATTATCAACACATTCAGTAATAAATTTTATTTTTAGATTTCAGGTTCTGCAAATAACAGATGGCTTAGAAACAATTGGGACTATAAGACTGCCTCTACTTATTTGTTTGGCTTTCACCTGCTCATTGATATTCCTTTGTGTATTTCGAGGAATCAAAGTAACTGGGAAGGTAGGCCTGGGGGTTTCCTATTGATGTGGAGTACTGTGGGCGGCAATGTAGCCATGTACCATAAAGCGCGGGCTTTTAGTTATTACACAGAAATTTTGAGTACGATTTCCATCATGACCAAAACGAGTGAAGCCCATTTCCAAGCTAGACATTGCTGGAATGTTGCTAATGTGGCGTAAACGTTTACAAACACACGCACACGCACACGCACACGCACACGCACACGCACACGCACACACACTCTGCTCTGGAGCACTGAACTTCACTCGTCATTCTGTAAACCTAGAAAAAATGTTAAGTCCCACCTGCTCAGGACGCAAATATATGACATGGAAACCAGAGTAAATTTGTTTCGATAAGCATGAACTACAATCATGACAGATGAGAAAGTGATATTCATAATATTGGTGGATATTTCATTTCATGTGTATTAATGAGACGTAAATATGTTGCTAAAATGACCGTTATAGCTCCATGTCTTCCTTTGAGGAGATTCACAATAGTGTATACGCCACATGTCTAGGTGACTGACTAAACCCTACCCCTCATGTCTGTGTTTGTTTCACAGCTAGTTTACGTGACGGTGGCAATACCTTGTATTCTTGTGACCATCTTCCTCATCCGGGGATGTCTGCTGCCGGGATCAGCAGATGGAATATATTTCTATATCGTTCCAAACTTTGAAATCCTGTCAAGACCTCAGGTAAGAAACAACATCAAATACATACCCTTGCCGATGCCACTGGACCTAACGGAGTGTCAGGAGTATTCATGAGTCTGTAAGGAGTATTAATACCTTTGTCTCTGTCAGGAGCATTCTAGTTCAGTGAGTGACATGTTATCATGTTGCATATAAGTCGGAAATTATGAATCGAAGGCAAGGAAAGGAAGAGTCGGTTTCTGAGGGGAAAACACTTCAGTTGAGGAACCTTGTCCTACCCAGAAATAACCTTTGAACTTGCATGCTGTAGCTTTGACCCACCATCTATAGAAGTAACCTGCTTTAAGACCAAACATCATGAGGTTTGGAGAACAATTGGTGATCTTATGGTCACTGGCTATGTATTCCATGAGAATGTATTAAAGATAATCACCCCAATCAAAAGGCTCTAGGTAGATGAAGATGGATATAATTTGTATCAGGGCATCAAAAAAGGGTGATTGAATCGTTCCACCTAGTCAATGAATTAATGACGATGTGGGTTTCTTCTGCTCTTATCTGTATCTAACAAACTATCCATGTCCTTAAAAAATTGGATTCAAACTCTCGTCAATGACTGTATGGACATGCCGTGGACAGCCAATGTGACAAGACAAGAAGCGACTAAGGGGATCGGGTGGTCAGCCTCGGTGGTTTGGTTGATACATGCCATCATATTCCAATTGCGTGGATTGAAGCTCATGATGTCAATCATTGATTGTCTGGTTCAGGCTCGATTATTTACAGACCGCTGTCATATTGCTAGAATATTGCTGTAAGTGAGTGAGGCGTTAACAACAATCAATGTGACAAAATCCCCTGGAAAGCAATGTGTCTGCCACGGTAAGGGCAACATGGTCTTGTATAGCAAAATATAAGACACGTATGCCTGTGATGTCGGGTCAGTGGAATGCGAAGAAACGTCCTTACTGTCTGAGAAGAAACGTTTACGCTACTGGTGTTCCGCGGGTCCTTTCTGACTGTGGTAACATCAGTGAAAAAATGTCTTCCAGCTGCGTGGTGGAACGTTTTCGACCACCTGCAACTCGCTCGGTACCTGAATCAAACGATCATATTTTGGCTGACATCAAAGATGTTTGAAGGTAACGTTGTAGGCACAGTTTCACGCACGCCTATGCATCTTCGGTCGTCAAACGACGTCACTGACGTTGAGGGGTTATACATGCATTCAGTTATTGCAATCCTTTGTAGCAAATGTTGTGCTCTCTGATAAATTGTCTTGCGTTTCTGTAGGATATTCATACTTCCAGCTCTGTCAGGCATGGTCCTACATGGATCTCTATCAGGGCTTTCCCATACTTGCATTTGTCAGGCATATTCATACTCGTATCTCTTTCATGTGAAGACGACACCGTACGCCTTTTAACTATCAAACATCCCTCTCCTTTTGTGTAGTAATCCCGAGGAGTGCAGTGTCATTTTAGAATATTTCATCTACCTCCCAACTATCATGTTGTATTTCAATTGAAAAAACGATGTGATATTAGTATAATGAATAGACACGTTCTGTCACCCTTAGGTGTGGATTGAAGGATGTAATTTCGCTCTTTATTCTCTTGGTCTCGGCATGGGGTCCATCGTGACTTTGTCAAGCCACAGTAAATTTCAAAACAACTGTTTCAGGTAAGGCGAGAGGAATGACCATTAATATGTATGGCAGGTGTGACTATCTGGTGTAAGATTCAAAACATCTTACTAATGTTTAATTTCAACTGAAAACTCACTGTCAACTATATTTGATTTATTAACACGTCTGTATCATCTTTAAATCGTCTCTACCATCAACTGCAGATTGCAAAAAGAATATGTGAAAATCAGCGCTAAAGAGACAACGGTTTTAGAAGCATTAATGTTAGATTAGAGAGCTAATATTGTTAGACATTTGCATGTGTATATTTTTGTGATGGTAGTAAGTGATAATATGTTAAGAGCTGTAGCTGTATTGTTAAAAGAAAATACTATTATTAGACAGCTGTGTTTGTGGTGGTGCCATTTAATACACGTTTCTTGATTTAGATTACTCCAGATAATAGGTAAAGAAAAGTCTCTTATAACTTGAGGGGCGATTGGGTGGCCTTGTGGTTAAAGCGTTCGCATCATACTGAAGACCAAGATTCGATTCCTGATATGGAACCATTTCTGGTATCACCCGCCGTGATATTGATGGAATATTGCTAAAACGGCATAAAACCATATTCACGCCCTCACTCTAATAACATTGTTGCTAGCAACAACGATTGTCTGTTGATAATATTTGTTACTTCATTTTTCTTCGACTCTAGAGATTCCATTATTGTCTGCATTGGAGACATGCTAGTTACACTTCTCATTGGATTTGCCTTCTTTGCCATCATCGGTCATGTTGCCTACCAGAGAGGGGTAACTGTGGAAGCATTTGAATCTTCAGGTAGATATCAAGTCAGTGCTTTCGGGTGTTCCTATCGTGAGTGAGTGAGTTGGGTTTAACGCCGCTTTCAACAGTATTCCAGTTCTATCAAGGCGGGTCAGCTTAATGTGGGAGGAAAGCCCGAAGTGATGAAGGTTTCGGACGTTTACCACTTCGGTGAAACCCACGAGCACAGGTATGGTATGGTGCTGACAAACCTAGAAAAATAATCGGGGCGAACCGGGATTCCAACCCTTTATCATAGGTTTCTGGCGTGCCCAAGGGACGCGACTCTGCATAGCAAATCGCGGCGCCTTAGACGACTGGGCCCCACGTGCCCCTCTATGTTATGATGCCATCTGAAAGGTAGTGATATATTAAGATGATCTACAATATTTCTTTTAAACATAATCTGATGTTAATGTTCCTGTTAAAAAATGGAATTCACAATAAGGACCAGAATCAAGTGTTCTTCATTTCAGGATTCAATCTTGCCTTTATCGTCTTTCCGCAAGTTTTGAATTACCTCCCCTTGCCGCAGTTGTGGTCTGCCTTGACGTTTCTGATGCTGATCACCCTTGAACTTGATACTCTGGTAAATACAGATTTAATAGTTTGAGTGACTGACGTCATTGGGTAATTAACATATAGCCAGAGCAGGGTTAACCCTGCTCTAAACAATCAGAGGAGATTTAAGACGTCTTTCTAAACCACATGCTTCTCATAACATGACCGATTACACTTGCGGAGATATTGATGTTTTCGATACCGTGAGTGACCATGCTGAAAGTATTTTGCTACACTTTGTATGTATCAATGTTTCTACATACATTTAAAACAATTTTAGTTAATTTTGCATGTTTTCGTATTGCTGGATTTTTTTTAGATCTGCACATGATTTTTCATTGCGCTGTACAAAAATATTGTTTGAAGAAAGAAATACATACCTGAAAGTTGACCTGAAAAGTATCGGTCAGTTTCATAAGTCTTCTAGGACTTAATGTATGAATATGTTCCAGGTTCCGCCGATTGAGAACGTAGTAGCAGCTTTAAGAGACCGTTTTCCACAGCTATCACGACGGCGCTGGCTTGTCATCGCTGTATTACTTTCAACCAACTTCACCTTTGGTCTCAACTACATTACACAGGTGACAGTCGTTTTGCAACATAGGCGCAGCTTGTATTTCTTAATCGTGGCTTATATAATTAGGCTGGCGAACTAGCATTTCCACGTTTCTTGTCAACTTCATGAAAACGTGAATGCAATTAGAATGCATCAAGGCAGGGGCGCTTTGGTTGACATTAAAGATGACAACATTCTACCACTGTCCTCGATGTCTAAAGGCGACTACTTTCGTGTGAAAAACGTACATTAAACATTTAAAAAAACTCCCATTGAGAATGTTTTCAGTTTGCCAAACATCTCATATTATGACTTCTAGGGCGGGATGTACGTGTTGACCCTCGTGGACTGGTTCGCCTACTTCCCGTCGAATGTCCTCTTCTCTACACTTGAATGTATCGTGGTTGGATGGTGCTATGGTAAACATTTGATACTACAGATGCATCACTTATACAATGCACTCTCAGCCATTTGCTTCGTTTGCTAGTGTAACACACAGCAAGTCCAAATATTTGCTATGCAATTGTTTCACCCAGAAAATATAGCATCATTGTTTAGAGCCATTGATGCACGAATGAAAAATGAAGAAATATAACTAACATTGTCAAATTGTTTCTTTTTTCTGTGCAGATTCAGTAAAGATATTTCGCAGAAAGTACTTGTGGCATGGATGTGTTTCAGTCAGTATGTTTGTACATTGGTGTAACTTGACTTCATTGTGATATTCTGCATATCAATAAATCACTGCAACCCATTCCATTTCAGGTACGGACAGACTACAACGCGACATCAAGGCGATGTGGGGGAAGGCTATACCGCGGATTATGATGATAGCCATCAAATGTGTGTGTCCGATGTTGTTGGTGGTACGTGATTAACCATATTTGTAAAAGTATAGAACCCACGGTCTTATGATTTACCTGTTCCACACATAAACCACAGTAGTTGACATGTTTCATTCATCTTTAGGATATATTATCATGACCGACAAGACGCAGGAACTTAAAGCTTAGCAGAGTGTGAATGAATTAGTGGCAGGCACAAATATGGCTAAACACTCAAACATGAAAGGTATTTCAGTTGGTAGTCGTATTATGGCATGGCTGTGTAGTGTGGGGGTAAACGCCTAATTTGTGTAGACGTTCACCATGAGACAGGGCATCGTGCTGATAAACCTGGAATCATATTCCAATAAGATGCAGCGGAACTACAGCAAGACAAATATAAACACTACAAAATGGAGGACATGTTTCTTCAAACATGAGTTGGGAACCCACTGAGCCAAACCTGAAAAATATGTTTGTCTCAACTTTAGCTAATGAATTTGGCCAAGTAAAAATGTTTGGCTTTTTGAGAATGTAAACTACATTGGAAATGACATATGGCCGAAAGATTGACTAGCAACTGTTTATTTTTATCTAACTTACATGTACTATATAATGCCAAGCGTCTATAAGGAAAAGCTATCACAGATGCCCTCTTCCATCAAAACACGTCAACATTCTGGCAATTGTTTGAGTTTGTGGTATTTACTTCAAAACGTGACTCGTGGCGAGTGAGTGAGTGAGTGAGTATGGTTTTACGCCGCTTCTAGCAATATTCCAGCAATATCACGGCGGGGGACACCAGAAATGGGCTTCACACATTGTACCCATGTCGGGAATCGAACCCGGGTCTTCGGCGTGACGAGCGAACGCTTTAACCACTAGGCAACCCCACCGCTCTGTGTGTCAAATAATTGTTATAACCTTCAGCATAAAAGCGTAATTCATAAATAAACGAAACAGCTACAAGGTCACAGTCTTACTTAATATTCATGATTTCTATTGTTTCATGTTCATCACAACCATTGGGACTCAGAGAATATAGCTGGAATATTGCCGAGTGCGGCGTTAAACCACAAACAAACAAAAAATCTCATAGATTCAGTTCTTCATTTTTATCTTACCATGCCATTCTCTACAACAGTGTGTGTTCTGCTACTCCCTGTATTCCTACCGCCCTCCCAAGTATGGAGACTATGACTACCCTCCATGGGCCACAGGAATCGGATGGATGGTGTCTCTGGCTTCAATCCTGCCCTTTCCGGCTGTCTTTGTGTGGAGAGTATGGCGGTCACATGGAAATACCGTTAAAGAGGTTGCTGCTCAGCTAAATCTCTTTATCCTTTAAGAACGTCTTTTAGTTTCGCATCAGCGTTCTCTTTATGTCGAGCAATATTTCAGAGTTCCAGCTTTTGGTGTCTGAATTTCACAACTTTTGAGGTACAATTGGACCTGCTCTTTCTACGAAGATTACAAAGAAGGTCATACGACTCTTCCTCAAACCTTGCTTGCTCAGAGTTAATTCAAGGCCTCAGTAAATGTTTTTAAAATGTTTTTTAGTGGACGTTTATGTAAATGACATTTCCAAGTATGACGCATCAGATCCAAATGTATTATGTTCAAAGTGTTACTCAATGGCGCCCTGAATATATGTTTCAGAAATTCCTGACATCGATGGAACCAAACAAGAAATGGCGTGAAGCATCTGGTCGTGGCACACAGGAGGACATTGCTTATCCAATGACTAATGTGGAGGAGCTAGCCTAAGAGGATTCAGTGTTAGATAACTTGGGTCAGAGCACGCGTTTTTTTTATTGAAAGGTATTTAATCACAAGCAAAAGGATTAGGCACAAGTTTTCACAACACAGGTTGCCCTCTCCTAAAATATACTGAACAACTAAAGTTCCTGTGACATTGAATAAGATTTAATGCAAAGTTATGTTTTTTACCAAATCTGAAACAATTTCGGTTTGCAACAGAGAAAAGACTTCTGTAAGTGTTCAAATGGTTTAATTTGCCATACTGACTTCCGAAAATGCGTGATTTCATTAAAAAAAACCCATGAACATGCCAAAATGTCAATTTACAAATCAATAGCGTGCGTGTCCACCTCTGGTTGCGATGCAAGCAACCCATCTTCGTCTCATGGAATGGAAAAGGCGTCGCACAAAGTCCTGTGGGATATCTGCCGATATCTGCTGGAGCATGTTTCGAAGTTCCTGGAGTGTCTGTGGAACACGTGGTTGACGTCGAAGGCGCCGATCCATCTCATCCCACATGTGCTCGAATGGTGAGAGATCAGGGTGAGCGAGCCAGCTAGGGGATGACATTCACGTTGTTTTCACGTCGAGCAATATGAGGCCGGGCGTTGTCATGTTGAAAGGTAATACCTGGGCCATGACGACGCAAAAACGGTACAAGAACAGGGCCGATGATCCCGACGATGTCCAATGAGATTTACCTCTACCACTATCAAACGGGTCCTCTGTCTTGCTGTAATCCCACCCCTTACCATAATGCTGCCGCCCCCGAACCGACATTCTTCCATGACACAATGATTGTCGTAACGTTCACCTCGACGTCGGTACACTAGAATTCGTCCATCGCTGTGGCTGAGGTGAAAACGAGACTCGTTAGTGAATAGAACTTGTCCCCACTGCATGGCCGTCCAGCGCATACGCTGTCTGCACCACTGTAGACGTGCTTGACGCTGGTTTCCTGTCAAAATGGGACATCTGGCGGGTCTTCCGGCGACAATCCCTGCACATCTTACGTACGGTTTGTGAAGATATTCGTCAAAGGCCAGGGATGCTTCTTGCAGTCACAGTTGCTGGCTGGACTCGATTTCGTAGGTGTGTTGTTTAGGGCTGAAACGATATCCCGGGACACCGATGCATCGCGATTCACTCCATACGATACGGTGTGCGATATGTGAGGTGCTGTATCTCGATTTTTCACATACGTTTTTTCAAAGACGTATATACGTACGTCTTTTTTTTGTAAATAAACTTTTATCACAGATACGTTTTAAATGTGTTTTAACTCTTTCAACACCGCAGGCCGGTAAACCGGCCAAGAAGCATTAAACACGTCAAAATAGTATATATTTTTATGGACCTACCTGTCATACCATTCATTTATTAAATCTATCACATCTCACAATGTCTGAAATACGTATTCTATTTCAATTTATCAAAGTGAATCCTTTTTTTATCGATAGATTAGAAAGTTATTCACTATTTCCCGAAATGTTATTGAAAATATAATTCTCGGATGCACATTAAACATGTCAAAGAGCAAAACAAAGACGTCTCAAGCAAATCTTTAAATATATATACAAAGTGATAAATAAAATCAACAAAAATATATCTAAAAGTGGTCAAACTTACAGTATATATTTTGTGACTCATGAACATTCATCACTTTCATTTAATTTTTCATTTTAATAAACTAAGTTTAATTCATTTATCTCTTGTCTTCTCTTGTCACTATGTGTATCGTAGCGTATCGAGATACGTATCGAATCGTGATGTAAGTATCGAGATACATATCGTATCGTGACCTAGTTGTATCGTTGCAGCCCTAGTGTTGTTTGAATCCAGTTGTCTTGTCGATTATTGGTTACGCGTGGCCTGCCACTCCGAAGATGGTCTCTGACTGCATTCATATGTTGCCAACGTTACCATAAACACCAAATGGTGTTGGACAGGCGTGGCATTTCGTAATTTTGAATAACTGCGTAATTTTGTTGTTTTTCTGAGTGGTTGTCAGCACGATGCTAAACAATGCATATGGAATCCCATTAACGCACATGTTTTTATACCCATTCTTGGGTAGTGAAATGCATGGGGCTTGCATAAAAGTCAACTTTTGCATGGAATGCATGCTTTTCTGTAGCAGTTGCGTTTTTGTGACTTGATTCCATACATGTACTACAATATTGAAAACCAAACTTGTTTCCAAAATACACTAAAATATTGGTGTCACAGGAACTTTTGTTGTTGAGTATATTTACATGATTCACGGGTCAGGTATTCCAAGGAAAAAATGGTGTACAGCTTACGCCACGTGCGTTGTTTCAAAGCACTCCAGTTAATGCATGGCATTTAAATATAAGTATTAGTTCTGATGAAAACGATATTGACGCCATACTTACATGTAGGCAGACAAGAGGATGACGGAAAAATAAAGATTTGATGGTAATTATAGGAATAGGTATTTTTTACATGTCTTGTTATTTTCGTTTTACCAAACTGTGCGAGCTATTGAGATGTTATATTCTAAATAAATATATTACAATGAATCAATCGCTATTTCACAAATAAGACAATAGTAGTGTTGTTGTAAAATATAGTTTGTAAATTGTTTTAATATTAAAACATAAAGTTACAAAGATTTTAAATGTAAATAGTGTTGTCACGACTGATGAAGACAGCTGTCTTTAAGAATACAATTTTCAGTAATCTATGTTAGGATGATTACAGATGTTTGATATTTGGAGTTAACACACCTGTGAATGGGCGGGAAATGATTGTTTGGTGAAATTCTCAGTGTTTACAATTATTTTGTTTTTCTATTTTATTTTTCATTTTAATCTCTGTATGAATCAACATTATTATTGATTTAATATTTAGGCTGGGTCTTGTTACATTTTTGTCTGATTTTTAAATAACGAAATACTTTGGTTCTAGTGTTTTGTTTTGTCATTTGCAAGATGAAAAAAATTAATTGCCCTCAAGGTGATCTTGATATGGAATAGTCATTGTAATAGTCAGGCTCGGTCGAAAACGATCAAGACCTTCGGTTTTCGTCCACGTTCCCGCGATCCTTTGAAGTTTTAATAATTAAATATATGATTATTTATTATTACATACACGTCTTGTGTGTAAAAACTATGTATATCGACGTAATAGATCAATTAAATGTTTCATAGTAATATTTAACAGTTATAGTTAGCTCCAGTGATCGGCTCAAATAGTCCCGCCATCTACTGGTGCTTACGTCATCAAAAGTTGGGTAGTTTATTCCGGAATTGTTTCATGCTCTAAATCCACTAAAGTAAATATATTTATTCCAAAATACTTACGTAAACACCTTCCTGGACATGTTATTGAGTAGATTACATCAATCCTAGATAATGTCACGTCGTATATTTGGTGTTTAATCGCATTCTTCTCGCTCTAACTTTTGGCGTCTTCTGCTACATGTATTTCCGGAAGTGACGTCACCACGAATATAATCTCGTTCCAAATCAGTTGCAGAAATAACAGACTCAACGTAAGTTGTAGTTTTTGGTCCAGCGAGTTTTTAGAAATTTTATAATGATTCCATAGACTTGTTTACAGTTTTTTTAATAACAATTACCGTGCAGCATTATTGGCTCTGCCTTTGCGCATAGTAATTATTCTTTTTCGAGTAGATTAAATAGAATTTGTAGAAATTAATTATCTAGAATCTAACTGTCAAAACTGACAAGCGTTAAAAATAGAGTACATCCGTTTTAACAATATCTCTTGGAAACTGACGGTTGGGATGGGACTGAAAACATCCTGACAACCACGTTTTCCCCACCCCCAACCCGTTACAGTTTAATGGTGTCAGAAGTGGGATATGTCTTTTTGGATAAATGGAAATAACACGTCCCATTTTAATTCTGGAAACCCAAAAGTCCAGAAACTCTACGCTCTTTGCCCGGTCTCGGTTAAAGGTATTTACAAAATTAAACATGCCGTTTTCATGGGAACATACCAAGGAAGAAAAAATGAAAAAATTGTTTAAAAACTCAATATTTAGACTATGTCGCCCATGGGCCTGCCCATGGGCGAAGTGTGGCCCATGGGCCTGCCCATGGGCGAAGTCTGGCCCATGGGCAGGCCCATGGGCGAGAATATGTTCCTTTACTTAAAACTCATGTTTTTGTTTCGCAAATACATTTAATGTATTCATTCAAGTATCATGACACAAAATTTAACTCATTTTAACTTAATTCAACGATTTTATAGCGATATTGAAATATTTCGCCCATCGGCGAGAAAAAGGTTTGGCCCATGGGCGAGAATATGTTCCTTTACTTAAAACTCATGATTTTGTTTCGCAAATATATTAAATGTATTTATTGAAGTATCATGACACAAAATTTAACTCATTTTAACTTAATTCAACGATTTTATAGCGATATTGAAATATTTCGCCCATGGGCGAGAAAAAGGTTTGGCCCATGGGCGAAAATATGTTCCTTTACTTAAAACTCATGATTTTGTTTCGCAAATATATTAAATGTATTTATTGAAGTATCATGACACAAAATTTAACTCATTTTAACTTAATTCAACTATTTTATAGCGATATTGAAATATTTCGCCCATGGGCGAGAAAAAGGTTTGGCCCATGGGCGAGTATATGTTCCTTTACTTAAAACTCATGATTTTGTTTCGCAAATACATTAAATGTATTTATTGAAGTATCATGACACAAAATTTAACTCATTTTAACTTAATTCAACTATTTTATAGCGATATTGAAATATTTCGCCCATGGGCGAGAAAAAAGTTTGGCCCATGGGCGAGAATATGTTCCTTTACTTAAAACTCATGATTTTGTTTCGCAAATACATTAAATGTATTCATTCAAGTACCATGACACAAAATTTAACTCATTTTAACTTAATTCAACGATTTTATAGCGATATTGAAATATTTCGCCCATGGGCGAGAAAAAGGTTTTGCCCAAGGGCAAGTATATGTTCCTTTACTTAAAACTCATGTTTTTGTTTCGCAAATACATTAAATATATTCATTGAAGTATCATGACACAAAATTAAACTCATTTTAACTTAATTCAACGATTTTATAGCGATATTGAAATATTTCGCCCATGGGCGAGAAAAGGT